AGTTGAAGAAAGCAAAAGAAAAGAAATATAAAGACAAGAAGATAAAAAGTAAGGATTGCAAGAGAATTCTCATAATGTTATCATGTTCCCAAATTCAACTTCTTAGTAAATCCATTCAACAATAATTATAAAACATGTCTCTCACACTTAACTCCAATCCTAAATATTTAAGAGATGTTTAGTCGTTCATGATTTCCATAAATTCAAGCTGAGATTGAATACTTGTCAACTTGGATATAATTTTATTTACATTGTACAATTAAATAAGTGGTAGAAATTTAGGTTTGTTTAATCAGTATTTAACTTTTGGATATATGATTTTTCTTGATTGTCATTAAATGTAGTGTAATGTTGACTTTAATCTATGGATTTAATCAAGTTAGAGTTCTAGATAAACAAATTTATCCTAGGTGAAATTATTGTATTAACTAGGTTAAGGAAGTGACTAGGGTGGGACCATCCGATCAAATCATACTCGATCCAACTAGGGCGAGACCACTCAATCAAGCCGTATAGACTTCATCGAGTCGATCCACTAAACTAACTCAAGAAGACTCCCTCTATAAATTACAGAAGAGATTTGAGACGCTCTACAACCCTACTTTTTACTTCATTCAATTGAACCAGTATCAGAGTGTGTTTGACAGATTTATCATGTGTGCATGTATTCGTCAGAACACATTATACAAGTCTAACCTAAAACTTTTACAATATTTAGTTGTTGAAAGAATCTTAATATCTTAATCAGCTAACAACCATAAAATTTCGACTTATTTCCTCAAAATTTTTTTTTTCTTTTGGCCCTAAACCATTTCAGGGTGTTTGTAATTTAATTTTGATTCGCATTTAAAATAGTAAATTAAAATTATTAGCTCTCTCCAGAAGCACAAGGAAGACTTTTCTTGTTCAGCAAATAGACAAAACAGTACCCAAACAAAACAACAAAATAAATGATGAGAAAAAACAGTAGTTATAAAGATAAAACCTTTTTTCTAATCACCCATAAGGGAAAAAAATAATTTATATACACGAATATTAAAATCGTTTTTTCTTTTTAATGGAATAAAACTTATTAGATTGAGAAAAAAAAGAATTTGATGAAAATTAAATATCATTAAATATGGGGGGTTGTAACAGGCGAGAAATGTAATCAATGAGCTTAATTAGGATTAATTACATTGCACTACGAAAAAAACAAAGAAAAAAAGAGTATTGTATTAAATTAAATTAATAGGAATTAAAGTCAAATTAGGTTATAATCAAGTGCGGTAAGGCGTAACTGAAATCACGATCGAGACCTAATCATGTGGATCCAATTGAATCCATCAGAGATTGACAAAAAAATAAAAAAAGAAAAAAGAAAAAAAGTGACTGGTGTGGGGACCACAAATCTCTGAAAACCATTTGATGAAAATTTGTTTTCGCAAACTTAATTTTCTTTTGGTCTTCTCTGTACGAGAAAATCAGACCGGGTCCACGTGGGCGGAGATGAGAGGACCAACAAAAATTCACACGAGGGTAGTTTCGTCATTCCGTCCCCATAGGTGGGTGTAATAAAAACCTTCATTTACTATAGCGCCTGCGCCTCCCCCCTTCTCTTCGCACCCACCATTTCCCCTTTTCCCTTTTCTTTACAGAGAATGAGACACAGCCACAATCCAACTTGAGCTTCTTCATAGAGAGGGCAAGAAAAAAAAACTAAAAGAGACAAAATCCGGCGAATCTCCGACGACTGTGACGGTGACGGGGAGGGTTGCGTCGTTTTGAGGTCTGTTAATGGCGAGCGCGTGGGTGAAATCGCTTCAGTGCAAATCGAGAGCGTTTGAAGACGTTTATCATCCGAGCCCTAAAAATTTGATTCCGAGCGGCAGTTGCCGGAAGGGCGTTCAGAGTCTCAAAGACGTCGTCGAAACCACCGCCAAATCGAAGAAGGCTAAACGGTCTCCGCCGCCGGTGTCGAGGAACCCGAGAGCGGTTAAATCGGAACCCGGTTCGAGTCCTTGTACGCGGCCGAGAATGAGCGTCTCGTCGCGGCCGATGCGAGCGAACGATTTTATATTTCCGGCGTTGTCGGAGTTGCCGGAGGGCCACCACTCGCGGAGCGTGGTGGAGATTATCTTCCACACGAGCTGGAGCCCCAAGGCGTTTGCGGGTCGGGTCGAGATGATTTTCAAAGTCCAAAACGGGTCGAAGACGGTGGCCCGGTTCGAGGAGTATCGCGAGATGGTGAAGGCGAGGGCGGCGACGGGCAGTCCAGCCGACGAGGAGAATGCGCGGTGCGCCGCCGACGGGAACGAGGTGATGCGGTTCCACTGCATGGGTCCGACGTCTGACTGCGCGAAGTACGACGGATGTGGCGGCGGCGGCGCGTGGACGTTCCCCGGGATGAAAGGGTCGGCGATTTGCACGTTCGCCGGGAGCGGGTCGGCCCACGAGAAGGCCGGCGGAGGGAGAGGGAGGAGAGCGATGTTGGTTTGTCGGGTCATCGCCGGCCGGGTCACGAAGCATCTGAAAATCGACTCGTTTCTGGAAGGCCGAGTTGGACTCGACTCAGTGAGTGGGGAGAATGGCGAGTTGCTAGTGTTCGACTCGCGAGCGGTGCTCCCTTGTTTCCTCATCATCTACAAATTGTAAAAATTCCCAAAAAAAAAAAATGGAAATCATTATTATAATTTTTTTTTTTTGCATTTTCTTATTTTTCTTTCGGATTTTTTGGGATGAAAATCTCTTTTCATCTTTCATCTTGCATTTATCAACACAATTTTTCTCTTTTTATTTTTGGGGATTTCTCATGTCTCATTTTTGTCTGTGGACCGTTGTTGATATTATTTGTGTGATTATGTAAAAATTGTGTTGATAAATGCTAATTAACCAATGTTTACGGTTTCTTATGTTTGAAATTAATGTGCAAATACATTTGCCCCAATTTGATGGAATTTCAATTTTGAGGCCGAGGCAAGATTTGGGAAGATATTGGTTATTCCTTTGTGTTGGCTCAGAAATTCAAGTGTTTGGTTTGGCAAATTGGTAGGGAAAGTATTTGTACTTGAAAAAGAATGGAATCAATTTGGATTTTCTACTCCTTCAAGCTTTCCTTTCTATATTTGTATATATATAGTTTTATGGTATTTTGAAAACTATGTCATCTCAGATACAACTTGTCCAAGTATTTTTGAAAATTGACTAGTCACGTTGGTAAAAGAAAAATACTTAGATGCTTCTCCATTAGCATCATTAAATTTTCTTTCTTAATCATTATCAAACTTTTTACCGATAAGAGAAATATTTTTTTAAAAAAATGTTGTTTAAAAAAATACAAAATTGTTAAATTTTTATTGATGGTTAGCACAAAGTTTGACGTACTAATCCCTAATATGACCGATGAAATAACAAAGATTTTGGATATGTTTACAAACCATTTTGTAGAAACATGTAGATTTTTTTTAATTATATATTTGAATCGTTTTCAAGTAAATTTTTAAAAAATAAGAATAGTTTTAAGGGACATAATTGGTGACTTATCCACTAAACTATGCTCGAATGGATTTATTTTCCATACTTCATATGCATATATACATGTTACCTTTAGATAAAATTTTTAAAATGTTGATTATAAATTATTAGAACATAAATTATTTTTTGTTAAAACAAATTTAAAACAAGTTGTTTAGCAAATTAAGATTGAAAAACACATTGGGTGCTAACAATTTAATCTTTGTAATTTAAAATTTGATATGATGTAGCCCCAACTTTAATGTATAATGATCTAGTTCCTATAGTTTAAAATTTATAATGATTTAGTCGAAAAATTTTATCAACCTATAATAAATTTATTTAAATAGATCCAACAAATCACTCAGAGTCCAAATACATTTCAAAACTTCATGTAATTCACGACATTTCACATACATTGACACAATTTTTCATGGTAAATGCTAAATTGTTACAAATTTCAAACTATGGAAACAGAAATCTTATATATTAAAGTTATAGACTAAATGGCTACAAAATTTGAACACAATGCATAATCTTTTCAACTTTGAAAATGAAATTAAAAAGAAGGAAATGAAAGAAAAATAAAATGTAGTAAAAGTTGAAAAAAATGAAGCAAACAAATATGGTCGTTCAATTCCAATTTGCAACAAAGAAATGGGCATAAGTATAGCGCAAGTCACGCTGGTAATGACCAAACCTTGCTTTTCCTTGACAGAAAATGAAAGCTATATCATACATAATCAAACCAAAAAAAAATAATAATAAATAGATGTTGCCATTTCACTGTCTTTGACACCCAACCCTTTTTTTTTTCTCTCTTTAATTCCCCTCATTTATCAAAGCTGCAAAAAGTGATCAACATACTTGACTCCATCAGCAAGCTCCAGCCCTTATTTTAATCTTCAACATCACATTCCACATCTATGCTTCCAAGCAAAGTTCTTCACACTAAAGTAACCCAATTAGTCTCTCTTTGTTTCATCACTTTGACCATAAATATAATTCCCGAGCGAAATCTTACATCCGTTAGAAGTGAACAAAAATAGTATCACAATTGGTACGAGTCCTATTGGGCAAATAAAACCACGTGGAGTTAAATCTGAAACGGACAAATATTGTGGGGAAGATAGATATTTATTTTCAAGGAAACTAGAGAGATGGGGAAAAAGAACAACAGAGTCCAGCTACAAGCATCTACCTGAATAGCCTTTTTCACAATTAAATGGTGTGTACAAGATAGAATTAAGGCTCCTACCCAAACTCACCAAATCATTGGACAGTGAAAATGGCATTTGAGCAGATTCTTTTTTTTGTTTTTGAGGGGTGGGGCAGAGGTTGAGAGGGACGATGGTTTGTTTGTCACATTGGCTTTGAGTTGAATATAAGATTTTATAAGGTGGCACTGGCCAGGCCAATATCATCCTCAGATGCAAACTCCATCTTTGCTGCATCAATGGATGAAAACTTATCTTCCTGCACTAATGATACTCTACTAGCACGAACAATGGCTTACCGTTCAACCGATCCCGACCCTGCATCATCAAGAGAAATGTCATTGCAGCATTGCTGACAAGAGATATCGAAAATTATCTAGAGTTCGGTTCCTACATGAATTCATGTCCATAGAGATACGTCTAGTGTCTATCAATCCTATATTAAGTAACTTTGCTCCACATGTAAAGGGGTCAAGGGGTCCACAAAAAGTGGGGAAAATGTAACCTGCAGCAGTTCACCTAACCGTACTTCAAAACTAGAAAGCAAATGTTTGGGAGGTTTTGAGAAACAGTTTTTGGCTTTGTTTTCAAAATTGCTTTTAACGTAGTTCTACACTTAAAATCACTGTTTTACAAGTCAGTTTCTGAAAGTAGCTTACTCTATGGAGAGCCTAAAAGAAAATGAGAAAAACAACTCCTTCAAAATAGTTATTCATACGTCTTTCAACTTAGACCAAATTGCCATTATCCACATTTCCCTATCAGTAGCCAATCCTCCAAGCATAACTCAAGTTGATGAGGCACTGATTACCTTCCTCAAGGTTGAAGATTCAATCCCCACCCCCTTATTATTGAATTCAATCCAAAAAAAAAAAAATCTCTATCAGTTACATAATTCTAATGGCATGATTTGTGTAGTCCAACAGAAGAACATTCAAGTCAAATAACTTGTGCCTACTTGGACCAGTCAAGACTTGCAGTTGCTGGAGGAAAATAAACACTAATAAGTAATAACTTCTCTGCAAATGATTATTAGGAAATATTAATTCTTCCTGAAGTAAGTATTTGCAGATTAATTATTAGAAGTTTTAGATGTAATCTCAAATTTGTGATATATAGGATGAACGCAAATAAAAATAATAAAAGAAAAAAATACTGGAAAGACAGATGAAGCCAAACAAGACCTGCCTAACTATTGCACCTACTTTGAACTTTATAACCATTGACAAGAGGAGTTGAAGGATCAGTCACACCTTTAAATCTGGCAATTCAATGACGCAAGCACATTCTATTACTTCAGCTCCAACACGTTCTGAAAAAGAAAAAAAAACAATGCATTTAGATTACAAATATTTGAATTGTAGTGAAAAAGATGTTCATTTTTCCTATATGGATCATCATTGAACAGAATGAGTTGAAAAATATCATATAAACCAAAGTTTATAGCCTGGAATTCCTTTTATAATCTTCCTTGTATAATCAGCACCTAAAGTTTCGTGTCCAGTTTTCATGATGTTAAACTTATTAGAACCTACACCCACTAGTCAGAGAATATTGAGCTAAAACATCAATTATTTGGTTTGTTTTCTGAAACAGACAAATTCTGCAATAAGTACAGAATCTCTGTTAATGCACTGTCTTTATACTAAAGCTACAGGGGACGGGCTTAGTCTTTAAATGACACAAGGACTTCAAACCGAACAAAACAAGCATCAAATCTGGACCCAAAATGACAGCCTTTACATTATAGATTTTTCTAGTCTTAGAAAATAATTCTTATGCAATAAGGTATAATATCCCACTATATAACAATCTAACTTATTTAGCTTATATAACAATATCAAAAGGAAGTCTCACCAAGTAAATTCATAGCCGCACGGAGAGTGCCACCTGTCGCAATTAAGTCGTCCACCACTAACGCCCGTTCATGAGGCTTGATGGCTCCAACATGCATCTCTAGGCAATCACTTCCGTATTCTAATATGTACTTTTCAGAAATAACTTCACCTGTCATGGTGAAAGTTGATAATATTCACTATTCATAAAGAAGGAAGAATTTTTATCCAAGATAATTCAACTTATGCTGCAAACATGTATCCCAGGACCAGAATCCAACTTCTTTTAATTACGATTCAATGTACTTCAAAAAGATATGGTAATTTATCTTCTAAGCAGAATATGGCGTGTACGATCAGTTAATCACTACTACTAACCGAGATAGTTTAAATAGAAACTCAAGGAAAAAATGGGTAATTGTACAAATTACCAGGTAGCTTCCTTGGTTTCCTTAAAGGAACAAATTTTGCTCCTATAGCCAATGCAATAGGAGGGCCAAATATAAAACCTCGAGCTTCAACTCCTGCCAAGCAACCATAGATTTCAGAAATGAATGTGGATGACAAGCTTTTTGACAATATATTACTTTGATAGAAAGATGTATGTAATGCATAAACCACATTATTTCTAGATGGAAATAACAAAAGATGCAGCTAGGTAGCCAAAGCAAAGTTTGGAAGAAAATAATGCTTGAAATGAATAAAATAAACTTGGTGAAATTAAGAACTAGCTAATCACAATCATGATAACAATATTGCAAAGAACCAAGAATTTATTAACTGGCTGAAAGACATTTGAGTGCTGATTATAAGTTACAGTAATGATAGAAGGATAAAACTTCATAAACTGTGAATCTGGTTGAGTACTAAAATTTCGAAGTAAAGGGCCAAATTTCCTTGATAGAACATGGAAGCAACCTCTTTGGACTGAATCCACTGAATTGAATCACATAGGCCCATTGGTAAAAGACACGTTAACAGAAATGATAAGAACATGCTTATATCATCCTTGGAAAAGAATTAGAGCTGTTTGTAACAGAAGATCTGCATTAAGGTAATATTGATACGAATATATGAAGCCACTAAAGTCCACTGAGCACAGTAATAAAAAAATTATAAATCATAAGGGGGACAAGCATGATAATAAAATTATCAAGTATGTGATTGAAAGGAATGAAGTTGCATTTTTGGTACAAGACTTCAAGGATTAATAGTATATGGACAGTTTTGGTTTTTTCCAACAACCATCATGATGTCAAGTCATTACCAGAAATATATTTATGTGGTTCTAATTTCACTTACTGGCACGAACCCCAGATATTCTTAATCAGTTTGTATTGTTACAAATACTCTTTATTAGATGTTAGTTCAAAAGAAGTAATAGAAACAGGCAGATAAATGAAAATGATGGAAACTGTACTTCTTTAAACAGGACAGCCACAATAAATAAACAACAGTATAGAAAAAAATTTCAAGATATACAACAGTGTAAACGCTAGAAGAAGAGAGCTTCTCTTGTTCACAGGAACAAAGGGGAAATGGGCACGAAGTCTTAAAGTTAGAGGTGTGGATAAAGTAAACCAACAATTGAGTAAAAAAGAAAAGGAATTCACATCATGATGGAGCCAAAATGTCACGGTGCAATTAAAGTCCAATCAGGCATCCCTTCGTATGGAGACGGGTAAAAATCGATCCCCTACCACAGTGAATACAAATATGACGAATCACATGGCCAAATAAAGAGAAAGTAGAGGCCAGAGGTGAGAGTAACAGAGGGAAAGGGAGAGTAACAGAGGGAGAGAGAGAACCAACATAAGCTGATCAGGTAAAAAAATGGTCACACACAGCAATCAGTGGCATAGCCCACTAAGAAAGCTTGCTTGTAGTCAAACATAGAATCACTCCCCAAACCCACAGTCACTTCCATTCATCAATGATTAATATGTACCAAAAGCATTATAAAAAACAACCGGAAATTCATGCAATGGGGGCACTTCTACATCATTTAAAGCTACTTTTTCTCCAAAGAATGGACCCCGCCATCTTCAGGCTAATCAAAAGCGACAAGTTTCTACCCAGCTTTGGATCATCGTCATCAGAATACATTAATCTTTACTCAAAATATATATATATATTGAAAAGAAAAAAAATTAAATGATTTCTTTTACTTCCTTTTCACCTGCAACAACCGAAATGTTTTTCCCTTTGTAGCGCTCGACGAACAAATCAATTGTATTCTTGAATGCTTTGGGGTCGAGTAGCAGAGTGGTTATGTCTTGGAACATGATACCTGCCGAAAGAAGAACGAGCACACCCAAAAAGATTAACAAAATTTCCAAGTCACAACCACAGATGGGTCATCTTCCTCCCGAAAGAAGAATAAACCCCAGAATCCATTTGACAAAAAGAAAATGCATTGAACTTCGATTGACCAACATATTCTTCAAGCATCCAAAGAGGGCAGGAAGAGAAAATAAATTTACACAAATTGAAATAACGAAAGGGAAAAATACAGCGAGAGGGTCAAACCTGGCTGAGGGAAATTCGGCACAACACGAATCTGGGTTCTGATGCCATGGATGCGAGGATCCTCATCTCTGTAAGCCGACATTGTGTAAGCTTAAAAACAGGGCAGCAAAAATAAGAATCAAGCAGAAATGAGCGCCCCCTCTACCTCACTGAATGGAGGGAGAGAAAAAGAGAGGAAAAAGAAGGGAAATTTTTGATGGGTTGAAGTTGAAGACAGCAAAAGGAGTTGAAATAGGGAGAGATTTGGGTATAAATAATAGAGAAAATGGAAGAAACTGTGGCCCTCTGCCGCTGAGGAAGAAGAAAAAAGAGTGATCGTTAAAATAGAAAAAGGGGAAATCAAATAACAGAAGCACAAACCGTGGCCGCTGTTCTTTTTGCCGATTTCCCGCGCTCTCACACTGTCACTCGCCAAGACCTCAAAATTGCCACTGTCTTTTTCAAAAATGGAAAATTAATTACTCTCGTTTATTATTATTTCTTAAAATTGCTTTTTAAATTCCTATATTTTTTTTAACTTTTTTCTAAATCCTAAAATATATTTTTGAAGGACGTATTTAGGTTATTAGTCACTAGTCCATCTTTGTTGAATTTTTTTATTTTAGTGAACTCTAAAACTTATTCTATTTTTAGTTGTTGAGCTTTTTAAAGGTGGGTTTTAGTTTCTAAAACTTTTAAATGTAATTATTTTCGTCATCTCTAATTAATACTCGTGTCGTGTTAATATACATACTTTCTTTTAGATAAAATAAAATTCATTAAATAAGATAAGATGTCACATCGACTACATTTGGGACAAACTCCCTTCTACTTCTAATTTAAAGACCCGACACATGTTCATATTTGAAGAAATTACTTTAGAAGCTAGATTATATAGTTTGCACTTCCTGGCACATGTTCAAAAGCAACAACACCGCATCAAGAAGAAAGATCACAAATGTGTTTGGTCCACGTTAATATATATACTTGAAAGCTATGATATTCGTCTCTTAACAAACAAAATAATTAAAATGACCAAAATAGTTTATTAGTCGAGACTAAGATAGACATTTGAAAACTTTAAATACCAACATGATATAAACATGAAAATTTAATGTTTAGAGATCAAAATTGAATAATTTTAAAAATTTAGGAACCAAAATGAACTTAAAATTTCTATGGATTAAAACAGCCATTTTAACGATGAAAAACCAAAACTAAGTAATAAACTAAAATGAGATCTTTTTTTAGTACAACTAAAATGAGATTTAAATTAAACCTATGGTAAAAAGGTTATTTTCAAATCTGGATGGTATTATTTATGTGCCTAATTCCATCCTTTTCCCATTAACCTAAAAACTATATATATATATTTTAAATTATTGCAATCCTAACATTAAATTTAATAGCAACATCCACCTACCTAAACTTCTAATTCTTATCCCCCACGTGCAATTTGGAAATATTCTCTTATAACATCTAAATGTATCATCTCCCCTTTAATATGTTGGTTTTATAAGTTTTAAGGGTCCATATTTCATATTACGTGTATTAAATTTTGCTACTAAAAATACAATCTTAAAATTTTCACATCTTTCAGAGTTATTAACAAAGCTTTTCAAAAACAAAACTTTTCAAGTTTATGACAATAACTTAGGTTTATGTTTCGTCTTTGTGTTAATAGGCTCATTGTTAATGTTGTGTTCTCATAATTTTGAGAATGAAATCTCTTTTTGGTCTCAAGGTCTTGTCCCGTGAAAGAAATGGTAAAAAAATTATTTTTTCTCTTCTAGAGGTGAGATTGTTTAGATCATGAAATCATTTTCCATGTCCATAAACTTTTGATTACTTTTTATTTTGATTCYAAGTCTGAAAGTTGCATATATAACTTTAATCATTCGACTTCTATTAAAGTCTATATTTATTCCCGGTCTATTGATGATCTAAATATGATATGATATGATATGATAACGTATATTACGTTTTATCAAATTATAAACAATATTTTTAAAAGGAGTTTCAGTTGAAGTTTTAAAAAATAAGAGATTTTAAAATTTTAATGATTAAAATATATAGAATTTCATTCATCAAGTTTAATACTAGTATTAAGAAAAAATAAAAGGTTAATAAAAGTGAAACTCATATTTAAACCTCCCACTATAGGTAATTTCATTACATATCTAGCTAATGTCCATTATTTCTATACATTTTTACATCTTATTCAAAATCATGTTGTTTAGATAGTTATCTCAAAGACTTGATCAATATAATAAAGAAAAAGACAGTGACTCTAAAATTAAATATTATCCTAAACAAAAGAGACTTTTGATCAAGATATACAGTCTTTCAAAAAAAGAAATTATAGTATTATTATCTTAGAAGGACAAAACGAACAACAAAAGAGACAGATAAGACTTGTCTTAAACTAAAATACTTACACATATATAAATGCTAGCATTTTCCTGTCCTTGAGGAGGGTTCTTGACTTTACCCGAATCATATATTTAAAGGTATTTTTAATAGATAGCAAAAATATTACTTGATAAAAAAAATTTATGTTAGATTTAGTAAAATTAGTAAAATAGCAATCACATTATGTTTTTTCAAATATAGCACTTACAAAAAACGGAAGTGCAATTTTAAAATGACAACTTTATCTAAATGATATATATCTGTGATACATCTGTAATATATCTGACTACTGATATATGTATGTGATATACTACTAATATGAGTATCTGATATACTTACAAAATGTACGTCATATACATCTGATATACTACTGATATGAGTGTTTGATATACTTGCAACATGTACGTTATATATATCTAACATACTACCTATTATATGAGTGTCTGATATACTTCTAATATGAGTATCTAATATACTTCTGATTTTTTATTTGAAAATTTTAAAAACAGGTGACATTCTTTGAAATACATAAAAGATTTTTGTTACCCGCTGCAATTTCCATTTAGATTTTTGTTTTTTGTTTTTGTTATTCTAATTTTGCCTTTATTACTAATATGTCTAATATAAAGTATATTATTGATAAATATAATATAAAATAAATTAGGTGCATTAGTTATATTACTGATATACTTGATATTAAGTATATCATCGTGAGTAATATAATTGACTTGTTCATTTGGGTTTGGCCTTCGTTTTTAGAGATTTGAACATATGATCTCAATACCGTTTTAAATATGTTAAATTACCAATGAAAACAAACGCTTAAAAGAATGGGTTAGGGTAAATTTAATCATATATATAGATATCTCAATAAATTGCTTTAATTGGGCCAACATGAGCTTAGCTCAAAATTAGGTACCTTAATTACTTCTTCTTGAGAGGTTGGAGGTTCAATTTCCTAATCTCCATATTTTTTTGGTACAACAAATGAGAGTGGGAGATTCAAATTCATGATCTCTTGACCAGAGACAGTTGCCAACATTACCGATGAGCTAAGCTCAGTTTGGCATCTCAATGTTGGTAATACTAAAAAAACAAATTGCTAATTTTGTGTTATATCAAGCAGCCCTTAATTTAAAATGGAAGTTTTTAAAATTCCAGATATTAAAGGGACAAATCAAAACAAACATAATGAGAATATGAACAACAAATTATGGGAAATGTAGGTGGATATCTAGTGGCAATGTTCTTTTTTTCTTTTTAGTGTTAAAACATTATCATAATTAATTTTCTTAATCTATTTAGCCAATCCAACACCACCCCACAACTCTTTTTTGGCTCTCTTTATGAGTAGGATTTTGCTTTTGCTTCAAACCAGACCATAAGCAAACCCACCTTTTGAGAAAAAAAATGGAGATTTTGCAATTAAAAGTGCTTAGAAAGTTAAAAAGGGATTAGCTTTTGAGCAATCCATGGTTGGTTCATACTCAAATAATGGAAATAATTAAGTTTGGCAATATTAATTTTATAAGGCCAAAAAACAGTTGAAAGGGATCTGGCACAAAAAGCTTGCACTTTTTTCCTATGTGCAATTTGAGTAAATTTGGGATGAAAGATGGCTTATCAGAATTGCCATAATCACCCCTAGAGATTTAGCTAATTAGGTCATCATTTGATTGAGATCTTGTGATGATTTTGATTGATTTTTCCTCTCTATTTCTTTTCACATTTTTACACTAAAAGCTTTGAAATTCACAATATTTTGAATTATATTAATGTTTCTAATGAGCCATATTTAAGGATTTTTTTTTTTTTGTTTAGATGTGGTGAGACAAATAGATTATGATAATATTAATATAGCTTTAGAGGGATATTTTAGTATTAATTAGCAAAATGTATTTCTTCCAACATTTGAAGAATAGGTGTGTTGAAAGTTGTCTCAAAAGGAAATCACTATATTAGAAAGGAGAGTTAATTAAAGCAAGCCGTAAATAAATTAGAGAGAGATGAGACATTCGATATTTAAAAATGATGGCTATACGTGAAGGTCTGAAAGCTGTCCCCATAAGAAATCACTATTCGATTCTATTGAAATCAGATTCCCTTGAAGAAATCACTAAGTTGTTACGTAAAAACTTTAAATTATAGTGATTAAATTGTTACATACTAAATTTCAAAGACTAATGATACATGGACTAAATCATTACAAACTAAAATTTAGAGATTAAATTATTATTTTTCAAACTGCCCCAGTGTTAAGCACCAAAAGTTTTTTTTTAATCTGGCTATTATGTTTCAAGAATCTCTTCCAAATCTTATTAAATCAAAATTACTATTTGGTTCCTTCACTTCATTTTTCTCCTGCAACAACTTAAATTTTATCACATAAAAATAACTAAAAATTATCCTTTCTTGGAGCTATTTTTTTGTAGTATGACGCAAAATTGTACATTATAAATTTTTATATAATATATAGTCTTCAAATTTTGAATGAGAGAGAAAACTTTAAAATTTAAAATTTCTAATATTTTTTAGTACAACAAGATCGAAGACTAGATATCCCTCTTTTTAAAAAGGAAAGTAGCATTTTGATTTTTATTCCCTTCAAGTTCAATAACTTTGGAGTGGAAGATCGAACAATCAATCTTTACTACCGAAATGAATTAATTTAGTTTTGTGTGAATGGACACGTTTTGACTAGTTAAACCATGGTAATGTTAATTACAATCTTTTCGATTTAAGAATAGTCAAAAGGAAGGCATTTGTCTCTCATTTGTTCACTGTCCTACAATGAATTACGCAATATCTCATTTCTAAATTCTTGAAAAAAAAATTATTGGATCGGCCTACCTTACCCGCTCGGGCCCGTTAGAAGAAATTTAGGAAAAAAAAAAGAATCACATTTTTTATAACGAGTAAATTAGTAAATGATTTTAAAAAGAAAGGTGTGAAATTTTGTGTCCAAAGGGTTGAAGGCAAATGATAGAGTGAAAAGAATTTGTGTCATATTTGGAGTGTTTTGTTTGAGAATAACTGCTTTCTCCCACCCGACACTCTCCTAACTGTCGGCATTCTCCATTCATTCCCATTTCCAACTTTATTAACTTCTCAACCCAACTTCTCCATTATGCGTAATTTGGAGTGGATGTTTAAATTTTATCACCAATTTTAAAAAATGTCCATTTATTTTAAATTTTGTAAAAATAACTAAAGGATATTTTAGAAATTTTAGACAATATAGTGATTTCCACACATATCCTTTCCATGTTTTTTTTTTAGAGTTTTTCATATTTAACCACTTAAAAACTTGGTTTTTAATTTAAATTGGGTTTSTTACGTTCAAAGGATTTTAAGTTAATTATTTTAATTATTTTGTTTTGAATTTCAGTTAATTTAAACGATTTGTCATTGTTCTACGGTCTCTCACCTCATCCTTCTACTATTGTTCTACTCTTCTTCTTCCTCTTCTCTCTTTGCAACAATAGATTGTGTATCAATCTCGATTCTATATGTTGGTACGTGGGATGAAAAAAATATGTACAACAATTTCAACATCTCTCAGATGTTAGTCTGGAAGAACTCTACGTTATCCCACCTCATTGAAGGCATTAGGAAGAACATTCATTTAAAAAAGTTGCATCCATATCATTGGTCAAGAATGATAGTCACTAATTTCTTATTATTAGACTAGCTGAAGATAGAGATGTCACATGGATTTTAACTGTGCTGTCGAATGAGTTGGGGAGAGAGTATTGTATTGTCGTTGATACTGTCGATACTCATATCAACTCCATAGGTTGGAGTGGGACATCATTCCGAACGAATGTAAATATCAACATTTACCGTAGCTATGAGAGTGCGACACAAGTGCAGTTTACAGTAGATAACATTGTTGTACATACCATTGACACCATGAATGAGAGTGAGACATTAGTACACACCACATCTCACCGTAAACGCAAGGAACTCATTTCGTCGTTCGCATCAAAGTTGAGAAAAATCCAGTAATGTATATATATTTATTGATACTGTAGTAATTTTGCTGTATATGTGTATATTTACCAAACGTTATCATGCATGAATGTATGAGTAATTTCTTGAACTTGATCATTACCATACATTTTTTTTTATTGATTCTTCAATTTGGTTGTATATGCGTATATTTACTAATAATTATCATGCATTATACAACCCATGAGGTTGATGCTAGACACATATTCAAATACTTCGTGGGAGGCACATGAAGTAAAGAAGATGAGGATGCTCCTAAACCCTAACTTTTTAAATTAAGTCAAAGGTAAGACTTAAATTTTTCAATTTATCCAGTAATAATCATATTTACCCTCTTAGAGCGATAAATTTCAAAATCTATCCCAATACATTTATAACAATTTTTTTCTTAATTCTGCTTTCAAATTTTGATTATCAACTTTCAATTAGTTTCAAATTAATTATTCTAATTTTATTCATTTTAGATATAGTTAATTCTCAAGACTGTTGTTTTTGCTATTTGTCAAAAATCCTAAATCACTAAACTTATGCATGTATAACTAATTTTGGTTACCAGGGTATATTTGTTTAAAAATTATTTCATTATTTCAAAAAAAATCAATTAACAATTATTGCAATATTTTATAGGACGTGTTATTAATTTTGTCTATTGCTGCAGTTGTCCTCTTTTTTGTTTATTTATTTTCTTTAATTTTACTTTTCCAAGCTATGTTTCTAGTGAAAGTACAAAAATGAAATTCGGGTTGCACGGATTTTATGGAAAAATAAGTTGAAGCTGGTAAGTGTATATTTAAAACCAGACCAACTACCTTCAATAAACAAACGACATAAAAGAAATAAATCGTAGATATGTGTATATTCATTCATTTATAAATTAGCATGATTTTTTTTTTGTCTCAAGAATTATTATTGATTTTAAAAGCCATATGAATTAAATGTTCAAAATGGACTCTCTTAAATTTAAAATTTAAAATTAATTTGAAGTATGTCGTTTTTTCTCAAATTTATAAATTAATGTTTTATTTTTTGTTAAATGGTGTAGGATAATTGAGAGATCAAGATGAAAAACTAATAAAATAGTAAGAAACAAGACATCTTATTTGAAAAAAAAAAATTAATAAGGAAAAAAATAGCAAAATAGAGGGAAGCAAAAGCCAAATAAATAAAAAAGAATATTTTGAAAAACAAATGTGGACAGTGGTCCCTCTTGCGGGCTGCAAGTGGAAGTAATTGAGCCTAGTAGGGTATATAGGTAATAAGCATAAGTTACGTGTCCTACCCATGAAAATAACTTTTTTAATTAGGCGATATTACAACGAATCTAATTATAAATGAAACAAAGAGACCTGTCAATAAAATTGCTCTAGATATAATAACAAAAAAAAGGTTATGTAACTAAAAAAGATAAATAAAATAAAAAACACAACATACCTTAGAAGCGAGACAAAAAAAATTCGGGTCTGTTTAATATCGGAGATGACAATTGACACTATTGAATGATATAAAAATGGGAGGTCTTACAAGACTCTCTCTCTAACGTTCGTTTTTGGACGAGAAATTGAATTTGATATGATTTTAGTCCATTTTTATGTCTTTTTCTACAAAAGAAATATTCACTTATTTTAAGTTTTTTTAATGGATCTTTTTACATTATCTTATGAATTTGGAAAAGAAAATAGGCTCAAATGAAGCTCTATTATCCACATATAATGGTTGAGTGCTTAATGATATTGTGGGGGCAAAAGGGAAATGAAGTGTCCTATAAACAAAAATGGGCTTTCCATGAAAATTTCTAGTGGGTCATACTGCTGTTTTCCCTTTTAAGTTTCTCAAGGAAGGAAAAAAGAAAAAAAAAAAGTTTTCAACTTAAATGATGGGAGATTGAATATGGATCATTCAAAAGAAACTCAATCTTCCTCTTATATCTATGGAGCCATGATTCTTTGCTTGAATACATATTCAAAGTGCTTCCTCCCACTCAATGTTTTTCGATTTTCTTATTGACGACGTTTTCATTTTTTATTTTTCAACTATCATATTATCAAATTTCACACCCTCATCTGAATTGTGTTTGTGTTTTAGTAAGAACTATTTTGAATAAGGATTATTTTAATTAAAATATTTTACAAGTTTTTCAAATACGTACAAGTTCGATTTATGTTTCACGAATTTTTCTACCACACGTACTTAGGATGAGTTTCTAAAAAATTTCGTTGAGTAATTTTGAAAATTATGCTAAAACTCTTCTAAGAAAAGGTATAAATCATTCTTTCAAAGTGGTCGTAGAAGAAATGCTCTCAAAGTCATCTCGAACTCATGTTTCATAGATTCAAAGAATATTTTAGAAAAATTTCCAAGTGTAATATGCAACCAAATGCATTATTTAAAGAACAAATTGACCCTAATCTCACAACTAAAAAAAAATCAATCAAAGTCAAGTCCCGTTTGATTGGCCAACACTTGTCTCATCAAATTCAAAGAGCATCCTATGTTACAATGTCTAATCATCACTCAACATTGGGGCAACTCCCTTTAACTTAAAATCATAGGCTCATGACCTTATGTTATTATTTTAAAGCTGATTAAATTTATCCATAAATATAAAGATTTGGCATAGTTCAATAACCAAGAATGCTTGGACAAGGAAATTATTATTAAATTAAGACGCACCGTGAAAAGCTCGTTTTTTCTTCTATATTTTAACCAAGAAATTTTGTTATTAGATGAGTCCAAAGTTAATAAACAGAGTTAAAAACAATTTTAAATTGCGTTAAAATTTCTATACAATTTACTTACATCGTTGAAGGTTAGAGGTTCGAATCTCTCAATCTTGAACTACATTTCTTTTGTTATCGATTGCTATTTGCTAACTCCCTTGAGATTTTTGGGCATTTGGGACCGGGAGCCCAAGGCTTAGAGACTTGAAAGTTATTTGTTACCTCGTGATCTAAGGGCAGTATTCATTTCCCCTCCTACTGCTGCAAATGAAGCATTTGGGACAAATCAACGGTCCTTTTAAGTGCTTAATTAGCATTTTCCGTTACAGTATCCACGTTTTACTTTCAAAAGTCACCTTAAACTCACTTTAAGATATATACCGTCATCTTGATTATCAAATTCTTGTAACGATTTTAGTCAGGCAGCACGATAAGAAACAATGTTGCAACCAATTTATCAATGAGACATTGCATTCCATTCCAGAGTTGTTTCATCAACTAAAATGGTCAAAATAATTGAATCTTCATTTAGCTACAACACTTAGACAATTTGTCTAGAGTTATTTTAGGTAATCTATTCTGAGTAATGTATTTCTCGATCACCCTTATTCGCTAGTCTGTTATTTCAAAAAGTTAATTTCGTTCATTCGATTACACGTGTATATATATTTGACATTCGGAAGTAATAAAGTTAAAGCACATTATTTACATTTTCGTATTTTATAACGTGCTTAACTTGATTATTTTCGAATATCAAGTATACATACACATGTAACTGAATAAGTGAAACTAACTTCTTAAAATAGCAGACAAACAAATAACAGCAATCAAGAAATACATAGCTACAATATCTACAGCCTGCAACAGAGCAGCATCAATTGTCATTGTCAAAAGCATAGCTTTGAAAGAACCTTCACAAAATGATTCTCCGCCTCGCCTTATTGAGCCTGGACCGTTTGCTTTTGGTAGGAGCACACCATTTGTGTCCATCTTGCATTTTACCTCTGATTTTTTGGTATTCTCTGGACCGTAAGACAGCCTCCAGAATGTTAATATCTTCACAAATCTCATGTCTTGAGAGACAGGATAGACCAGGAAGTATCTCTCTCTGGAAATCTTTCAATCTTCTTCCCCTCCTCAATTTGAAGCCCGAATTCGTACTCTCTTTGTCAGTTAACGGCCGGGACGATGCAGAGAACTCGTCTTCTTCATTGTTTTCTGTTTGGCTTAGAACTAGTATCTCAAAAGAATCAGAAGAGTGCTGTTGCTGATCCACCTGACCCTTTCCCATGTCACTAACAAAGGCTGGATCAGCCAAAGACATACAAACAAGTGATTCAGCTGCACTTTGAAGTAAAATTTGTATCTCAGAAGATTCTTCATCATGTTCTGATTCAATGCTACCAGAGGACTTGTGATCTTGCTCGGCGGAAAAGGATGTTTCTGTAGTATGCATCCCCTTTTGAGCTTCATTACTCTGGTTAGACGTGGGAAGCCTCAAATTTTGCACCTTTTTTGCCCCACAAGAGACGTTTTCGGCAATACAGGTCAATATGCTGTCACAGCCGTCAGAGCAGACTTCACTCTTTTGAAGCCTTGCATGCATGTTCGAAGGAACCTCAATTACTGCCATGGATTTTTTACTTCCATCATCACGAGAATCACTTGAGTCTTTACAGAAGTTTACTATTGACCCCATTGGAGCTTCATCAGATTGAGTAGTATTACACATTTCACCAGCATTTGTTCCCTTATATTTTGACCCTGTAGTTTGAGTTTCAATTCTCTTGTTTCTGCTACCACAATCCATCACATCTAGATTTGCATCCTGTTCGAGTGTGGAGGACTCAGTTGAACAGTTATTCTTCTCTTTGACCCAAATTGGGGAGGAGCAATTGGCTTGTTTTACCTTGCAGACTGCTCCCTTGAATCCAGCCCACGAGTTTGAGCTTGAATAACGAGCCATAATGGGATCATTCGAGTGACAAGATGAATTATCATTCTGAGCTTCATTAAGGTCCAGGTATCCTTCTTCATAGGACCCAAACTGTTCGTTCTTGATAGAGAGATTCTCACATGAGACATGACCATGGCCGTTATCAATCTCTGCAAAAAAAGAGATCACTTCAGAAATGCTAGATGGAAATAAGATCATCAGAAAGCAAGCGGAAAAGTTAATTTGTAAGGTTATTGGATACAGGATATCAATAAGAAGAATCATGAGACTAACCATTGCTTGTGCATTGAATTGTTGGAGCATTTAGATCTAAAGAAGACACATTTTCATTTTCTGCATCCCCATCAATTGAATCTTCCAAATCAATAACTTCTCCAGAGAGCACACGAGACTTCTTGTACGAAAGTATTTCTTCCACACTCTCCTCATTTCGATGCCCCACTCCAACATGGAGCGAAAGTTCCAACTCTTCCAAGTCTGGTTCTCAAAGATTACCACCAAAACAAGAAACCTTACTTTTTTGAATTTCATTAACTGATTACTGAGATCAGGGACATTTGAGAACCCTTACCAATGAGGCTAACGTACTGATCAGCAGGCAGCTGCAAATCGAGAGGCCTGTGCCGGAGTTTGAAGGTTTTACCTGACCGCTTTTCGAGCTATCAGGAAAGCATATCGCGTTAAAGCTAGAACAATTGAAGTTTGGAAATGCTAAAAGCAAAGTTTAAGTCATTCATCTGATCTACAAACTGTTCTTTACTTCACAAGGTTATATAGCAATGGCACTATGCCCTCCAGGGTAGGAACAATTCTCAAGACTTCTAGAAGAAAGCAAACTCATTTACCATGTGAATCGAGGAAGCTTTGGTTTCTTTCACCAACGGATCATATCTTTCAGGATTTGGATATGGCATGAAAGTTGGTTTTATCCCAGCTTTCTTAAAACTGCATCGGTCAAACTCCTCGAAGTCGAAATCCTGCATCAGTATCCTTTGTACACCGTACAACCGATGCAATTCAAGAACCTGAACAAATGAGGAGATGAATAGTTGCAACAAGTTATAGTTGAGAGCCTTATTAGAGATAATGAATTCAGTAAGTTACTGAGTCTTGAAGATGAAAATGGTAATAGAGGATGAAATATCATCTCCCAATACCTGCTTCCTAAACATAACCTCCTGGCTCAGCATGGTTTGCTTCAATGCTTCTTTAAGTGAACCAGAATACATTTGCACTGAATCTATATTGAAATCTCCTTGCACCAACATTTCTCTCGTAATCAGATGAAATCTCACATTGGAACACCCTTTAGCCGTAACATAAAGAATCCCTCACAAAACCGTTGGCCATCATTGCAAACCATCTAAAAGAAAATGTTAACTTCAGCTCCAGAAATGCCAAGATAGATTCCTCCTATCAAAAACTTATACATTGGAACACCTGGCGACTTGATGGAGATAAAGTAAACCTATCACAAGCCTTCTACAAGTGAGAAAAAAAAGCATTCGACAATTATGAATAAATTGGATTTCCTAGCAATACTCTCCTATAATATTGTGAGACTACAAGAACAGAGAATTGGGTGCGTTCTGAAGTCATCAAACAACTTCCAAATGCCAGACTTCACAAGATCCCAGTGGTAATAAGACCAATGTTTCAGCATTCACAGCTAATCTTCCAAATCGTTCTATTGGGAACATAGTTTGTTCTCCAGACCCTTTACAGAACGGAAGAAACCAAGTTTAGAAACTAGTTTGCCATTCTCCAACTCTCCATGGTCGTCCAGAAAATGCAATTAGGCAAGAGAAAATGCCTGGAAAAGAATTGCCCACAAAATATTTGTGCAAAAAACACAGAAATAGAGAGAGGGGGGTACCGTACCGATCGAAAAGCAGCGGAAGAGAAGGATGGAAGCATGGGGTTGGCGATTACTGGGCTGTGAGACGAATGGAGAAGAAAGTGATGGGGTAAATTAAGATGATTTGGTGGTCAGACTCCGAGAGAGAAAGCAGAAGCAGAGGGAGGGGAGGAGAGAGCAGAAATGCGTGCGTTGGGAAAGGATTAGAAAAACTAAAAAGAAACGTCATTTGTTTTGTTTTCTTTTTCTTCTCCACCAATCACCAAACCCCTTTTTCCATTTCATTTCTATATCGATACTTGTGCTGTCGCTTTCATTCGCCCTCTCTTTCTCTTCTCTCTCTCATTTTTTATTCTCTCTAAAACTCTCTTTTTCATTCGTTAAAACTCTTCAAACTGATAATGGATTTTGCTGTGTGGGCGACCGTTTCAACTGCAATGCTCAAATGCCCACTCGCCTCTTGATCCGGATATCTTACACCCTTCTGCTTTTACCCTTTTCTCCCTCCCTCAAATCAAGATTTTTCTTATTTTTAAGTGCAGTGAAGGTAATTTGTGTCTTATTCGTTCTGTTATATTCAAATGGATTGTTAGATATTCAGTGATTTCATATGCACAACGTGAGACGAAGTAATATGTGCATCAAATCAATCAAGTATAAAATTTTAATGTGGTGTCCCTAAAATACATTTTAATACATATACTTCTTTCCTTCTTTGTGCCCATTTGCATAAATTCGACAAAATCAAAATATGCCACCATTACATTACAAGTCGTTCAATTGTGCATTGAGAGTGGTCCGTCATGCAAGGTAGGATGATACGGTGTAGGTAAGTTATTGTAAGTTAGCGACACCCAAGTGGTCACCTCGCTTGATTTCATGGACCACCTTGGACTCCGTGTTGATTAAAGGCCACTCGTAGGTATCTCGTTTAGATCACTTAATCCCACTATTGTACCTTAGTTTCACTAGTTAGTCTAGGACTGGCTTAGCCTCTCCCGAATTAATTTAATTGGAGAGTGGATTGTTATGAACCTCTTATTTATGAAGAAAGAGTAAGATATCTTAACTACTAACCTATATATTTATGTTGACGACTCTAATAAATTATTGATTATTTATGAAAAATCTAACCTATATGATAAAAATAATTACAATTTTAGTCCACCCAACAGGAAAAATTTAAATATCAATATATAGTTCAATAAGTTAAAATCGAAGAAAACATAACAGAAGCATAAACGAATTTAACGGATCAGTACAGCTGGGATGCCTCTACCTTACCCTTCAACTTCAATGATTAAATAATGCTGCAGTCCAAAAATAAATAAATAAATATATAATATTTGATTAGAATAATAAATAGATAATATTATATCATATGCCCCAACTTTAGGAGACAGCTGGCTCCCTGACTATACCCACCACTATCTATTTATTTTAGCTCATTTTCAATCATCCAAAATTTATTTTTACATTTTTTTCCCTTCACAAACTTGAACCCTTAAACTCAGGAGTAAATCCTCTTTTAATGGCTCATTTTAAAAACTATATTTTATAAATAACTTAAGTTTTCAAATTTTTCCGTATTCAGATTCTCATATTTTAAATTTTTATTTATATTTTCATTAATTTCAAGATTACTTTCTATTATTACGGTTTTATTTGAATAAATTTATTTTTTATTTAAATGATTAGATTTTATTTTTATCATGTTTCTCCATATTTGGATTTCAAATCTTTCAAGTAATCTAAAAAATCCCATATTTTTCTCGTATCACAGTTAATATAAATTCATCCTTTTGTAATTAAAATTTTAAAAATTTCTCTCTCACCGTTTTTTTTACTTTTCTTTTTCATATATTTTTTTTTTCAATAGTAGGATAAACATATATCTTCTAAATAGTTATATAATATATACTTTTAATTGTTATATACTATTATGTTAAAAGAATATATTCCAACTACCATTATATAATATATTTTCATCTCATAATTTACAGTATGATAAACATATACTACTTCAAAATATTATCTAATGTATAACTTTTAGTGGTATATACTTAAATATTTTACGTGGAGAGTTATATATTCTCGAATATTAGGTGTTTTATATATTATTGTGTCATATATTCAAAATCTAATCAACTCCCTAACACGATTTTTATGATTTGGAAAAAAAAAATCAATGAAAAACTGTAGTCTTCTATGTGGGTGTGGTGGTGTTCGAGGGATTTTAGTTTTCAAATTAGAAATGTTAGAGATTTCAAGGATTTCAAAACAAAAATTATGGATTTCATGAAACATGATATTTTAGGGATCTCAAAACAAAAATTAGGAAACTTCCAAATTCTAAATTTATTTCATATTTAATTTGATTTTTTATCTTTATTTAACATATATTAGAAATGACCTATGAGTAATTATTTTTCTAATGGATTCTACCTATAATGTGTCAAGAGTTAGACAATGATGTAAATTGTTAAGTTAAGCTGATTGTGTAATTTGAATTATAAAATAGGCTAGTAATTATGTACTAATCCCATGATTTAATCTAGGGGTCTTCAAAAAACCCGGTAACCCGAAGAACCCAACTTGAACCGTGAGGGTTGGGTTGGGTTAAGTATATGCTCGGTTCCGGTTGGGTTCTAATTTTAAAGAACCGATTGGTTCGGTTCGGTTCGGTCTCGAGTTAAGAGGGAAAAAATCGGTTTAACCCGAACCGATATATATATATCTTATGTTTTTAGGTTTAGGGTTTGTAGCCGCCTCTCATTTTTCTAACATTCTCAATCACATCACACCTCTCTCAATCTCCCTCTCATCTCTCTACTCTATCGATCTCATCACAATCTCTCTCAATCTCATTCCATCTCTCTCAATCTCACTATCTTAAGCAGTCGTTCGCCGCCATTCACCATCGTTCCCCGCCTTTCTCATTTGTTCGCTGTTGTTCCCCTTCGTTCGTCGCCGTTCGCCTCTATTTGCCTTTGTTTGTCACAGTTCGCTTATGTTCATCGCCGTTTGCTTTCGTTCACCTATATTCGCAGTCATTCGTACCGCCGTTCGCCTCTCGCTGCCGTTCTTGCCGCCGTTCGCCTCTCGCTGCCGCTGCCGATATTCCCTTCTGTCTACAACCATCCGCCACTCATCCCATCCCAACCCTGGTTTGAAAAGGAAAATAGAAAGTAAAGTAAACCGAGGATCCAACTCGACCCAACCCGAAAAATATAGGGTTGGGTTGGGTTGAGTTAGCTAGTATAGTCGGTTTTATCGGTTCTCCTACCTGTCCAATCCGAATTTTCGGGTTGGTCCAAAAAAACCCCTGAACTCGACCCAACCCAACCCGTAAATACCCGTAATTTAACCACCTAATTTATAACTACCTAGAAATTTAAATTATGCATCGCATATAATTAAATAATTATTCATAAATAATCTTGTATATAGTGAAAACAATAAATAGTTGTTATTTGACTAATAATTATTTTATAAATTGACAAATTTTGTTAACTAATTATTTTTTAACTTGATGATGAGATAAATGTAGAGTATAATAATAGACTTTTTAAGAAATAATTTATTTAAAAAGATCACAGAAATAAGTTATTTTTAAAAATAATTTCAAAGCTAGAGTAGATAAATTAGGTATATTCGCCACAATTTGAGATAAATCACACGTGGTAGACGTGTTTTCACCATAAATCGCATCTCTAGCACGTGACTTAAGGATAAATCACACGCGACTTATGCTACACGTAACTCATTCTTGTCATGTAGTACTCACACGATTTACCTCACAAAAGCGTATTCAACCGAAATCAATCTTGTATTATATATATTATTATTACTTAACTTACAATATTTCATCTTGGTTTAGTGGGCAGCAGTGTGCCCAACCAGTGCAGCCTAAACTAAATCATAGAATTAATTCACAATTCAAATCCAATAAATATGTCGACTTTTAGAAGGAAAAAGAAAAAGATATAAGATTGACAAAATGAAGATTCGAAAGCTAGTGGTAGAGGAGACTGGACATATTGCTGACTACTTTGCCAAGATGCAAAACTGTTCGAGTCAGTGGAGAGTAATATTCATTCTATGTAAAACATTGCTAAAGGAAATAAGTAAAAAAAGATAAATTGTGTAAAACCAGTAGTACGTGGCACCTTAAATCGTTTCTAATTTGGATATCCTTTCACAGAGGTTATTACAGTGAAAGTTACATTACTTTTTTTTTTAACTAAATTATTTTTGAAATTTTTACCCATATAATAACACGATTTATTGGCTTTATTTTGCTATTGTTTGTTTTTTAAAAAGGTTATTCTTCGATAAGAAATTCAAAGAAAAGAAACTCAAATTTATGAATTTGTATTTATATTCATGTGTGCAGTGTTACCATCTCTAATGTATAATCTTTTGATGCTTGATGAAGTTCTTCAACTTGTAGCTTGTGAAGTTTTTCGGTTTGTTGGAGTTCTTCAACTATACAGCCGGTAGTTTGTGTGAAGTTCTTTGACTTATAGTTTGTGAAGTTCTTCGACTTGTTGAAGTCCGCAGCTTGATGAAGTCTTCAAGTATTGTCGTTTGAGAAGAGTTCTTATGTTGCCTTGGTGAAGAGAAGATTCAGTATTTTTGAAGTGTCGTAATCTTCAAGTCTACGATTATTTGAGTCTTCAAATCTTGTTGAGTTTGAATGTTTCGCTTACTCTAAATGATCATGTAGACAATTCCAAATGTTTTGATGGCTTTGAATCTTCAATTATTCTTAGTCTTTTAGAATGTGCCCCTACAAATGGGAGGTGACGCCTCAATTTATAGAGTGCTAATGGGTCTTATATGGGCTTAAATGGGTTCGAGCCCAAACTTCTTAGGGTTGATCCAATTTGTCGATGTCATCGGACAGCCATAAGAAAGACACGTGACATAATTTGATTTGTCAATTTTAAAATTAATTTATGACACGTGTAAATTTGTGATTGATCATAGATATAATTTTAAATTTGTGATCGTGACATTTAATAATTAACTAAAATTTCTCATTCAATAGTTATTTACATGGTCGATATAAATATTTGAGTTGCAAAATAACAACACATAAAAGTAGGATCAATAATTCAAATTTTTTTACCATAAGGTAGATTACTAAATACTTTAACCAATAAAATCATATTTGAATTTGG